TCCTGGAGTTTTAAGCGCAGAGCATAAGACATTCTCCATGAAGAGCCGTTGACGTGTCCTTTTGGTCCAAAATCCATGGTGTCCTGCGCAACCTGACACTGGTATTGATGACATACGCCGAAGGTATGCAATGTGCAGGCCTTTTTTCCTATTACATGCTCCACAGACAATAGAATAAATCCCCAGATTTAGCAATCTTGCTAGGGCCTGCCAAGCTTTCACCACAGGCAATCCTGATCCACATAGATCAGAGAACTATATAGCAACTTAATCAGCCAGATGGTGGGGCTTCTGGCATGGCCTACTCTTAGCTGGGCATCCGGGGAACCGGAAATGTTAAACTCCTTCTTAGCGTGGGAGACCCTGCTGGAGGATAAACCTCCGCTGTACTTCGCACTTCGACACCAGAGTCAATCCCACGCCAAGCTGGGCATCCGGGGAACCGGAAATGTCAAACTCCTTCTTAGCTTAGGAGACCCTGCTGGAGGATAAACCTCCGCTGTACTTCGTACTTCGACATCAGAGTCAATCCCACGTCACGATGAGACGGTAGACCATCATGGGGTATGCAGAGATAGGAAAGAATAAACAAACACTAGCGAAGATTGGATTAGAACTCCTCATTATGGATAGATTTGGGGTGGTAGTAATTTGCCCGAAACTCGCAATTAACAGTCGTCGTCTGCTCGCAGTTAACGCGTAAATTCACCTTGAAATGACGGCCAAACTATGAGGATAACTGAGAGGTGCTTACAGAGGAGATGGCACGTCGTTGCAAAACCACTAGGGATCGAACCCAAGACCAGCCTACATTTACATTATAACGCATCCGCTCCACTAGGCTAAGACCCAAATAAGAGGTCTTATTTGAAAAAGTATGTTTCAAAGGTAATATTGTAAGACATGATTACGGCTAACAGTGACTACTAACACTCTCAACTACGCAGCACTTCTTCTTTGAAATAGCTTTAGCAAACAAACATAAAATGACGGAATTCGACGTCTCAGTAAGCACTAAGCATTTCCATTCCTACCAGTGCTGCTATGCTAGAGTTAACAGTAGCTAAGCTTGTGATCTTGCGCAGCTATTGCAAGAAAGCATTACTAGAATCTTCATTAACCAATAGCGATGGCAGCTACGGTGCCTCTTCGCGGATCAATCGCCTATTTTAGAATGCGCCTGCCTCCTAGTCCAAGAAGACAAAGTCATTCGCGGACCAGTTGCCTATCTTGAACGCGTCATCTCTTAGCCAATGCCTATGCCCTGTTGGCGGACCAATCGCCTATCCTGGTAAGCGTCAGCCCCCTTTCTGCTGGCTATAACCACAAGCGAAAAGTCCTC